ATGTTACATATCATATTTACTTGGTTAGGATTTAACTTTATGAAACTCCATCTCCACCCTTTTGAAGGGAAAGTGACATTACCAACAAAGGATTAGAGTTTTTTGTTTTGTTTATCTTACAAATTACATGTACATGTACACACTACACACTCTTAAATATAGATTCAATCAATACCAGCATTACAAAGTTGGTTCATGTAATTAGAAGATTGTATGTGACCCATAATTTATATATATTTTTTTAAAAAGAAAATATAAATTAGAAACAGATGGATCTGAAACTATATATATATATATATCTATATATATATATCTGGAAGATATCATTGCATACAAAAATAAAATAAAGTAAAATTGGCTAATGATGTCAGTGCGTGCCCTAATGAGCTCCAAAATACAATCGATGAGGTCAAACCTGAATTTAGAAGCAAAAGAAGCCAAGCCAGCTGAAGAAGAACCGAACAGGAAACAAGATTGAAGAGCCCAGAGAGGATCCAAACCCAGAACTTCCATTTCATCAGATTCCAGAAGGACGCCCTCTAATTATATTTCCCGCCAAAAATGTAAACGAAATCCCCCAAAATACTGTCGCAAGGTTCAAAATCATCTCTCGCACTTGCAGTGTTCTTCTTCTTCTTCTTCTGAAATGGGCATGGAATCCAGTTCCACCCATTTCACGATTATGAGAAGGTAAATTGAAACTAACCGTTGTTTTCCCATTAATTCGCAATTAAATTTATGGCTTACCCAATCAAACTTTGTGAATTGGGTAGTTTTGATTGTTTGTTGGGTTTTTTCTTCTTCTTCTTTTTCTCCTTCATCCCATGCTGCTATGTTTGGTTGCTGAGAAATAGGGGGAAAATTGTGATAAATTTATGATTTATTGATCTGATAATTAATTTATGTATTTGTTTCATTATTTTCCTAACCACTGTTCACATTCATGAACTGCTGTGTTGCTGACCATGTTAATAGATTAGTTTCTGTACAAGTTTGCTTTCCATGATCAGTAAATGTTGTTTCAAATTGTTAATCAAATGGTGGCAAAGGTTGAAGTGTTTTTTTTTATGTCATTTTTGTTTGGTTTGAACACAGCTCAGATACTGATTCTAAGATTGAAGACAGTGGGAACAACTTAGTATTAAAAGCATACCCGATGCTTCCCCTGAAAACTGTTAATGCAGAGGATGAAGGAGAGTCTAGAGTACTTGAACCATATGTGGGGTTAGAGTTTGATTCAGCAGATGTCGCACGTGACTTTTACAGTCTCTATGCAACCCGTATGGGATTTAGAGTTCGAACTGGTCAGTTGTATCGGTCGAGAACTGATGGTTCAGTTTCTTCTCGGAGATTTGTGTGCTCCAAGGAAGGATTTCAGATTAGTTCACGAACAGGTTGCCCTGCATTGATAAGGGTGCAAAGACGCGATTCAGGGAAGTGGGTTGTAGACCTTTTCCTGAAGGACCACAATCATGGTCTTGGATCCACAGAGGAAAACCATTCTCCGATTTTGCAGAAGAAGACTCTAACACGTAAAAACTCCATTGTTGAATTGTCCCATAGGCCAAAAATCAAATCTATTGAGGAAATTGAGGATGGACGACCTTGCCCATCTGGAATTATTAGTGCCAAACGCTTTAAATGGGATGGAGACGAAATGCAGCCAGAAGTTGAACCGTCTGCAGGTCTAGAGTTCAATTCAGCCAATGAAGCATACCAATTTTATCATGTATATGCAGAAAATACAGGATTTAGAATCAGGATTGGTCAATTATTTCGTTCAAAGCTTGATGGGTCAATTACATCCCGGCGATTTGTGTGCTCAAAGGAAGGTTTTCAGCACCCATCAAGAGTTGGTTGTGGGGCATTTATGAGGATTAAGAGACAAGACTCTGGAAGGTGGGTAGTGGACCGTCTTGATAAAAATCATAACCATGAGCTTGAGTCCCAACTGGAAGTTCAAAAGACAAATCTATTTTCTTCAAAAAAGTTCATAGAGGAGGAGATTGGTGGGCTAGAAAATGAAGATATTGTTGACATAAACAACGGTAACAATGTCAAAAGACGTAGAGAAAATCACATTGGAAGTGATTGGTACCGTGTGCTGTTTGACTATTTTCAGACCAAACAGGCTGAAGATACAGGATTCTTTTATGCAGTAGAGGTTGATAATGGTAGTTGCATGAGTATTTTCTGGGCTGATGGGAGGTCTAGATTTTCATGCTGTCAGTTTGGTGATGTCATTATTTTGGATACCTCATATCGGAAAGGCATTTATCTGGTGCCATTTGCCACTTTCATTGGAATCAACCACCATAAGCAACCAGTGCTTCTTGGCTGTGCTCTAATTGCTGATGAATCTGAGAAATCTTTTACTTGGTTGTTTCAAACATGGCTTAGGGCAATGTCAGGACGTTGTCCTCTGTCAATAATAGCTGACCAAGACGATGTGATCCAGCATGCCATCATGCAAGTTTTTCCAGGAACCCATCATCGTTTCTCATTGTGGCAGTTTAAGGCAAAAGAAAGTGAGCATCTACGTTTGATGAATACTTCCTTTAAATATGAGTATGAAAAATGCATTTATGAGTGTCAAACAGCCGATGAATTTGATTCCGCATGGAATGCACTCCTCAGCAGGTATGGGTTGAAGGATAATGGTTGGCTGAAAGCAATGTACGCAAAGCGCAAAAGTTGGGTCCCGCTATACTTAAGAGCTACATTCTTTGCAGGCATCCCCTTCAATGAAAGTATAGAATCATTCTTTGGTACACGCTTCAATGCCCAAACACAACTTAAGGAGTTTGTTTCACAATATGAAAGAGGTCTAGAGCGACGTCGTGAAGAAGAAAGAAAAGAAGATTTTAACTCTTTTAACTTGCAAGCCTTCTTGCAGACAAAAGAACCATTAGAAGAGCAATGCAGAAGGCTTTATACACTGAACATATTCAGGATATTTCAGAAAGAACTTCTACAATCCTATAGTTATCTAGGATTTAAGATTTATGAAGAAGGGGCCACCATCAGGTATTTGGTCCGCAAATGTGGGAATGACAATGAGAAATGTGTAGTAACTGTTGGTCCATCCAATCCCAAAGTGATTTGCAGCTGTCGAATGTTTGAATTTGAAGGTGTGCTGTGTCGGCATGTGTTGAGAGTTTTCCAAATCTTGGACCTGAAAGAAGTTCCACCTTGCTATATATTACAGCGTTGGACTAAAAATGCAGAATATGGCATTCCATGCGATTCTGAATCTGGTGGAAACCCTCAAGAACTCAAGGCCTTGATGGTATGGAGTTTAAGAGAAGCAGCCTGCCAATACATAGAGGCTGGGGCAACATCTCTTGAAAAGCACAGACTTGCCTATGAAATTATGCGAGAGGGTGGAAGAAAACTTTGTTGGCAGAGGTAAGTGTGTGGGAAACAATAGTCAGTCACCTCTGATTCTCTATGGATAAACTTTTGAAGTTTTGGAGCTACATAAGTAGCTAGTCCTTTTTTACAGTGATCCTAGGTTATGTAATCGAAAGATCGATGACTTGCCTTGGATAATCTGCTGTTGATATCAGAGTAATGTAAATATTGTGTTGTGAAGATTACCCTTCATCTGATGATTGAGCTTGAAATCGATATCAAAAGTTTATGAGGTAATAATTAAAGCATGAGGCTGCATTTGGTTTTATCACAAGAACTTAATTAGATGGAAATCAGACCAAATACATTTTGGCTGAGTTCTTTTTTTATTTATTTATATTTTTTTTAAGAGAACCCTTCCTATAGGGAGGGGCGATAATATACCAAACTCATACACACACCATAAATGTTAGGACTCGAATTCAGAACCTTGCCTGAGAGAGTAAATACTCATGGGTCCAAAGAGGAGAAATTCTTCATGTGCTTATTCGTTGTTCGAATTTGTTATCTGGTAAGAGAGCCAAATCTCACAAACCCTCCCACAACTCATGCAAGCCCTAGGATTTGATCACAAGAGAGAACAGCTAGAACCATAGAGAATGGGTGTTTCACTGTATAAGATTGTGTTTTGTACAGTTTTTTAAAGACGTATACCGTAATTCAAACATTTATAAAACATGTATTTCTGTAATATAGTTTCGAAGTGCCAAAATTTGAGTGCAACATTGATGTAACGTACAATTTGTTCTTTTTTATTTATCTCCTTTCAAATTTTATTGAAAATTGCAAGTTGTACCCTTTTTTGATACACCACGATAATCAATCTAATCTAAAGAAACGGGAGACTAATGGAGTGGATGCATTGTCCTGACCAACTAGCCTAACTCATGTCGTACTCTTAAACTAATATCATCATTTTTATGGCAATGGAACGAAATCAGAAGATTAATGTTGCAATTGAAAAAATTTATTGAAGAAAAAGTTAATAAGATGAGAGCATTGAGAGCATTTAAAGAAGTCGTTGTCCATCTCCACGTATAAGAGAGACTAGAAGTAATTAACTCTGATACTCTCAACCTCAAAATCAAATCTACAAGATTATCATCATAATTAATATCCACTAACATCCTTTAAATAATTATTTTGAAATCAAAATATTTTCCTGGAGTTATTAAGCTTCAAATCTCCACCTAATGGCCTAAACTTATAGGTGACAAGCCAAATTGAAAGTGGGTCAATGCAAGTTCTAATTTGAATGACCAAAAATGACCATTAATTTTATACAAATTTATAAATAAACTCAATCCTAGACATGTATTTATAAAAAAACCCAAACACTATTTAAACATAGAAACACACCCAAAATTAACTCCAAAATCAACAATTGTATATTTTTTGGGTGTGTTTATAAATGGATTTTGAGTGTGTAATTATGGATTTTGGGTGTGTTTATAAAGTGTTTTGGGTATTGGGTTTTTTTTATAATTTCAGCCCCCATTTTGGGTGTTTTAGTGAAACTCCCTTAATTTTATGGAATAATTGAGTTAACTAACGTAGTTTTGGAGCATATAAGACTCAGATTGTGCTTTCTTCTTTTTCTTTTTTTCTTTTGCGCAGTGAAATACTGCACAATAATGCCTGCATTCTTGATGAGCAAATTTCACACTTCTCTGTAGGAACTGCTGACGAAATATGCTCCGTACATTGCAAAAATCTACAGCCTAATCATACAGTTCCACCAAAATTAACAGCTGGTTCGAACATGTATACGTATATATATGGTACCATATCATCAACAATCTTTTTCCCCTGTCAAACAATTTGATGTGGTCAGAGACACATTCAAACTTATCACCTACAAATAGTGGGATAAAGAAAAGGAGGATTACCAAGGACGACTTGCACTGCATATCATACTAGAAAGTAGTCAGACAAAACGGAAGCACCTATTACAGTAACCAGGCTTAACAAGGAAACGATATCTGATGTTCCAATGGATGGATCTGACAACAAGTAAATCTTATGAGCGTTGCTGTCCCCTCTAAAACCTCTGACAATCATTGCCTGTAAAAGCCATAACATTGGTAAAACATTAAAAACTGGAATTAACTTTTTTCCTTTACGTGACTAATTGGTATGATGCACTTATAAAAGCCACTAGTGCCATAAATATAAGCACTGAACTACTTTTTCCTTAAAAGAATTGCGCAATAACTATGCAAGTAGCATCTATATTGAAGTTAATCCATTGCGTTTTGATAGGGAGGGGGAGGGTTGTGGAATGCCAATGCATTTTAAACAACAGATGTCGCTTGCAACAGCAGACCAATTAAGCAGAGATATAAGCATTTGCAAGTTAAACTGATGCACAAACCTGCGAAATCTGCTCTGCATGGCTAAAGATATTTGTGAAGATCCGACGAAAGTAGGCAAAGAAAACTGCAAAATAAGATCCAAATCATAAAAGGAAATAGGTTTTTAAGGAGAAAGTTTATCCAAAAAAAAGTTGATAAGACGGTGTTCATATAGATACATCAACCAAAGCTGATAACTATACTAAAGCTTTAGAGTTTGACGTAGCTATCCATATATGACAGACAGACTATAAGTAAATAACACTGATATTCTCAACCCACTATGAGATTTATTTTTATAGCTAAAGAAGAAAACACAATTATTAAAAACAACAATACAAAAATTCATATAAGAACGCAAGCTTACCATCCAGCGTTTCCATCATTGTCAACTGTTCCCAGTTTATCCTACGAGATACAATCCCCAATGCAACATTACGTACCTACCAAATATTTCAAAGCGGTAGATGTCAGTATGAGTAGATTTAAGAACTAAATCATCATTAATCCTCTGTCAAGAAAATCATCTTTAAAATTTTGAAATAATCGAACACAAATCTTATTGACCAATCCTCCTACCTCATCAAACACGAGATTGATGAACCTCAATGAAAGCATGAGGGTCAGAATTATTTCAGCCACTGGCACACCAAGACGTGTCAAAGGGAGCATAAACCACCGCAAGGCAAATGCAAGTTCTTCTGGGGTTGTGGTTGTCAGGCAAAGGCTTGCACTTTGAAAAACCTTATGACAAAAACACGAACGCTAGATCTCAGAATAAAAAAAAGCTTTTTTGTATTCAAATCACCTACATGTAGTCTGGTAAGCATATTTTCTTATCATCAATTGTATGCTTAGAAGAAATGTAAGCATGCCACTATTGTTTTGAGTTACACCACTCCATTCTAAAAATAAAAAATAAAAAGATTGTGCCTCCTTATGCCACACAAGCTTATAATGTGATTATATCAATGGGCATCCAAACATATCGTTATTAAATAAAAGGCAAATAGTGTACCAAGCAGAGATAGAAGCAACTCACAGTAAAGGTTAAGCAACCAGCTGTGCTTGCTACAGACAACCCCTTCCTTGTAAAATGTAATGGCCCTAGCTTCATAATTAAATATGAGTAACCTCCCAGAGATGCAGGAAGATTTGATAATCCAATCATTGCAGGAGGTGGGGTTCTTAACTGAACAAGGGGTGGCACACCATCTGAACCCAGCCCCAACGTAATGAATAAAATTCCAGAGATCAAAGACACTCTTCCCAGTTGGTCCTGTAATCAAGAAAATATCACATTGATTATATATTCAGAGGAAGGGAAGAAAGAGAAAAACACTGGATGAATCACTAAGACCTTGTTAATTAAATACTAAAGACCTTAATATTGATGGAATTAAAACCAGCTCCTGACTCATAGGATGGTACTTAGTTACTTACCATCCATGTATGTCTTGGAAGAATCCATATTGACAAAACGGCCAAGTATACTACTAATCCAAAACGCAGTATTATATGTGACCTTGCTGGTAAAACAACTAGAGCCAAAAGCCAAACCTGCAGGATCAAGACGACAAAGTTAAAAAGAAAAGATGTAATAAAACAGAATTTACATACTTATATGTGAACGTTTCCATAATCTGCTCATCATGCAAAATTTACCAACACTGAGGAGATGTCAATACACATTTAAGAAAAGACAAACCCTCCAGGATGCAGAATGATATCATTACAAGTAGATTTTTTAAGCCCATTTTGACAAAATAAACAGCCTCGACTTTTACATATTGTACTTTAAAATTTTGGTTTGCCTGAAAAGCTGCCATTTTATATAATGTTTCTACTTTCACTCATTTGCTACTTCATAGTTTAAATAGAAATGTCATCTACAACGTTTGAGAGTCACCACATTTAGTAAAAAATTTGCAACTCAATCATAGTAACTGCCTTGTTGGAGATCCGAGGTGTATGTATATGCATGGAGTTCAACTCCTGTCATTTAATGTTTTAAGGACACTATACAAAGTGGTTCTCCCTAAACTCCCCCAAGAAAACTTGGATGCAAAAGAAACCGTTATGTTGCCTAACCCTCTCTTTAGTAGAGAAAAAGGAACAACAAGAAAAGAACAACTTTCTTCATTTTAAAGTTCCATGTTCTAAAACAATTAAAAAGACCTACAGCTGCACCCAATTAGCCCGTCTTAGATCCCAGAAAATTTAAACTTTCATATTTTTCTGTACATACTCAACTTAAAATTGAAAAGAAGAAAAGAAGAACATTTTGACCAATCTTTTCCGAAACATATACAGATCAAACACAGTAGAAACTCATTAACATGAAAAACAAACTGAAATGCCAAAAACCAAAATTAAAATTTGATCTTTACATGTCTTCAACATCTAAACCATACACCATTTCATCCCTTTTCAGCTAAAATTAACAAACCATTACGCCGCCAAAAACACGAAAACTAAATTGCACTAAGCCCACCACATATTATCAAAAACCAACAAACACCCATCCAAATCAAGCATACCAATTTGATTCTGGGGTCCACAGAATGAAGAAACGTGCTGGGTTCCGACACGTACTGGCAAATGGGGCTTGCGGTGGCACCTGAAATCAGCCGAAGAAATTTCTCGGCTCCGAAAGCTTTGGTTGGCAACACGTTCACCCACCACGGGGTTTGACTACTATCGCTTGCTGAGGCTCTAATTTGGTGGCTTAATCTTGGCTTTACTTGTATATGGGTTTTGTTCAGTGAACGCAGGTGAGTGAATTTTGGGGCAATTTGGGTTTTGGGATTAGGGTTTAGTGGGAGACAGGGGAATGTGACCGTTGTGATGGGACGGTACGCGAAGTTCATGGGTGAGGTTGAGAGTGGGAGAAGGGGAGATGGTTTGGATGTTTTCTGTACAGTTGGTGTGCAGTTCGTTAATTTCCAAAGTGGCGGGAATGTAACGATATGTTTCAGCTTCGGGCTGTTCTCTACTAAGGACCGCTTTCCGTTTTATCTACTTTTCTTTAGCTAAGCTAAATTTAAATCTTGTTGCCAATCGGGTCTACTTCATTGGAAAATGACTTTAATTTATAGATTAGGAGTCTCAGTTTGAATTATCATCGTATTTTAATAGTGTGTGTGAAAATTCTGCTTTTTATTTATTTATAATAAACTATCACCTATATTGAAAAGAAAAAAAAAACTAAATTCAATGGGTCCGTGCCTGACAAAAAAATACATTTAAACTGACAGAAAAAAAAAATTCAGTTTTATTCATATTAAACTAGGAATCCCCTCTTTTGGTTCTTTACCTTCATATGAAATTTACAATTTTCAGCCCAAACTTTATTTCAAGTGCTAATGTGTAATTTCCTCTTAATTCAGATCATAAGCTTGCGGGACGACAGATGACTTGATTTCGAATCCTTCTTTAGAGTACTTCCACCTATTTGTCATGGCAAATGGCAAGACAATGACTGTTACCATTCACGTGAATAGTGACAGCCCTTGTAAAAGGCTTGTGGTGTTTCCACCTATTGTCATGGCAATCACTGTTCACATGATATATGAGGAGAGGAATTTGTATAGAGTTTTGGTGTGGAAAGTAAAGAATATGACTAAGTATTTATTAAAAAATTATGAAATTCTTAGTATTTTTTTCATTTTTAAAAAAAAAATTTTGTTGCCAACATCAACAAACCCAAGCAACAACACAAGCTATTCTTGCCTTTGGGCCAGCCCAGGCTTGTGGAGCCCACCAACTGCCCTGACAACATTTGTTCGCTGGAAGCCCTTTTTGGGCCTAAGCGCCCCCTTGCCCGGGCAAAGGGTTGGCCGTTGGAAGAGCTCTTAGAAGACACAAAGAGCTAAGAGGTCTCCAAGAAAGGGCTAAATCCTCATTTGGCTCTTTCACACCTAAACATCTTCGGTAAATGGCTATACGTGCTATGCCACTGGGCCAAATCCAATCAGTGGGCCAAAAGGGCTAAATACTGGGTCAAATAAGGCACACTTCTTGGGAGGTTTATATCTTATTTTATTATTTCTTAGGTGGGCTAGTTATTGTTTTTAAATTAAAGTATTGTTGTTGTTTTTAAATTAATGTTTTAGTTTCTTGGGTGGGTTGTTTTTAAATTAATCCTATCGTATCTGAAAATATTTTTATCTTCTAAAATAAATTTAAATTGGGTCTAAAATAGTACTTTAATTAAATTATCCAATATATTTAAAGAATATACTAAAAACTAATAAAATATTGAGGGGCCTATAATTTAGCCCTGCACCACTGGAGACGGTAAAAATATAGCCCAGCATTATTCCTTAAAAAATTATAAATGGTGGGTTAAATTTTATACAAATTTATAAATAAACCCAATCCTAGACATGTATTTATAAAAAAACCCAAGCACTATTTAAACATAGAAATACACCCAAAATCAACCCCAAAGTCAACTTTTTGGGTGTGTTTATAAAGTGTTTTGGGTGTTGGGTTTTTTTATAATTTCAACCTCCATTTTGGGTGTTTTAGTGAAACTCCCTAAATTTTATGGGTGGACCATGTTTAGTCATCCACTGCTACAAATGACCTTACAGTTTAATATTGTAGGAGACCATGTTTCCTATTCATGTTGTATAAGGTTTTGGTTGTAAACGCACAAATTATTCAATAAATTCAAAGTTCTTCCAGAATATTTACTAAAAGGAGAACCTCACAACCTCTTCAATGTTTTCTTCGTTCCCATCTATATTAGTTGATTACATGACATAACACTCTATGTCACAATTATCATGACAAACTATTAGTTTAAACACCAACTTCTAAGCCGAATAACTTTTCTTTTTTTTTTTTTTTAATGTGAGAAAATTGTAAGTAAATTTGACAATGCATTACGTGAAAATTAGCTCAACTCAAATACAACAATCCATTAAGTAACAGGTATCACAACACGACACGATTCATTTTAAGCAAATTAAGTGTGTAGTAGGCTTAGGAAGATGGTATGTTGAATTCAAGTAGTAGATTAGAAAAAGGGAAGAAAGTGTCACATATCTTAAAAATCTCGCACAAAACAAACAATTGGAAAAAAAATGTAGAAATAGAAACAGCACTCAGAATAGAAATTGTGTTGTAATGGATTCAACAATAATACATCAACATATGAAGTGTAGAAGATGAACATGGCAGAGATTAAAATCTTCCAGTGCGGCCCCTTTCTCGAACAATAACATCTTCAACCCCAGCATGGATGGCACAAGTAGAAAACAACTGCGTTGCACTCACTATTATTGTTATGGTCTCCAAAGTACGCTGTGCATACACAACATCATGATTAGTCATGTACAACATAATAATGTGTCTTACGACGTGTAATGCTCCTCTCACAATCCATTAATAATGTTCAAATCTGTCCAACCAAGTTCAATAAAGAAAAGAAAAAGGAAATTATACAATAAGAGCATCAGCTTACCAAGTTCGAATCGGTCCAACCAAGTTGAATTTCTTTACAAGCCAATCTGAAACAGAAACAGTGGAGAACAAGTTTATATATATGAACACATTTAAAGAAAAATGGAGATCCAGAAAGTAAAATAGTAGGGGAAAAAGAGAGGCAGAGACCCCATGGCGAGAAGAGTGAGGGAGAAAGTTCCAAGTGAAGAGGCAGCAGCTGTGTGCAAGTTGGGTCTGTCCCATTGGACAACGTTGTGAAGTCCAGTAAGTGAGGTGGCAAAGCCAACAACACCAGCAAGGAGGGAGAAAATCACAAAGAAACCAGTTGCCATGTTCCCAAATGGGAAGTAGATTGGAAATATTCGCGCTGGAATTGTTAAAACAGAAGCTGCATGTGTGCAAAGTAAAAATGATCATAAGTTTAGTTGCATTATTTTTTTATACAAGTGATAGTCCAAACTACTCTAAACGAAGAGGTGGATTCGAACTTTTGTGCAAAGGGGCCGACTTACTGCCCTAAACCTTAGCCAACTGGCCTAATCCATGTCTGCATAAGTTTAGTTGCATTATATAATCGATGTTTAATTACCTGTATCACGAGACCTTTGGATGCCATGGTTGACAGCCCAAGAAGCAATCACAATCACAACAAAATACAGAACAAGGTTAACGATCAAGAGAATGGATGCTGCTGATTTTGGCCCTCCAGAAGTCATGGGGCCTTTGAAGTTTGAAGTTTGGAGACAGCAAGAGGAAATTGAATGCTGCTACAATTGTTGTAGAGGTGCAGGTGCAGGACAGGAGAGAGCTATATAGTCTATACAAATAGTTTAAGATAAAAATGAGTGTCTTTAATTCAAAGAAACGGCTTATATTCTTTTCCATCATTATTGGGATTGCCTCATGGAAGGGCAAAGAATCCTTTGTTGGTTTTTATTTATTTATTTAGAGAAGTTCATAATAAATCAGATAAATGGCTTCTTTGCTTATTATCAGTTCTGCACGGCAGCTCTTTTGTGGAATAAAGTTTTGCCTGCCAAGCACACAAAAAATTATGAAGAATAAAGTTTTCCTTTTTCTATGTTTTCATGCTTTTTTGGCTGGCAGGAGTATCATATACATTATTCTTGCCTCAATCTTCATGCCTTCAGTTTCAGGTTTCAGTTATTTTAGAGGCCTAGCTAGAGGCTGCTCTAACTGTACAAAACAATCAACAGAGAGGAAGGAATTTTCTTTAGCTTCCAATACCTTGTCTTATAACCGATCCTAAAAGTATATATTATCAAGAACAAAAAATTGCAACCGGTAGGCAACGCAAGCAAGCATCATGTCAACAACAGCTGGTCTGATTCATCATGATCGGATAGTCCAGGTTTTGATTTGTTATACAAAAACAAGATCAAATTGTGCAGGATGTGAACATTCAATGAAACACCCCATGTAATGTAGTGGACAGTTAAATTAACAGAGTTCATATGCTAAGTGAAATATCCAATCACCTGTCAAATGATTTAATTAAGGCTCTCTGATCTACACGATTTCTTCGATGCAATGAAAACATTCTACAAAGTTGAACATGCCATGAACAATCACTCACATGGGACCTTTATTTACAAAGGATCTTTTTCAAAAGGATTTAAAAGGTGAGGGAAAATGCTTCACACACTAGGCTGCTTTGTCCCAATTGACTGCGTTTTGAGCCCCAGTGGATTATCTTCAACGGATTGGTTTCAGACATTCAATGCAAGCTTTTGAGCGGCAAGAGCTTCAGCCTCTAGTGTTGGCTCCCACAATAATGTAGTTTCTGCCAGCAGTGAGGTCACAACGTAAGGGTCCATGTTTGAAGCTGGGCGCCGATCCTCCAGATAACCTACCACGAGCAAAACAAAATCAAAAGATTCAGTGATGCAGACTGTTAATAGAATGGCATATCAGAAAGCAAAGGCTCGTAACAATATAGCTTGAAATACTAAAAACACGTTTCCAAGAAATATCAAAGTTCCTCACTGGACACATCACAACATTTTCAAGGATACTTTCGTTTTTAACATCTAAACGCTGATAGTCTTTTTATGAGTCATGCATATTTTCGCATACATGGGCTTAGCTAAGTTGGCTAGAGCGGATGTGCTTTCCACTCTGCACCCGAGTTCGAATCCCCCTCCCCGTAGTTTAGATTAGATTAAAGTACAATATCGCTTGTATCAAAAAAATAAAAAGAGTCATGCATATTTTCAATATGTTTGGTTTAAGTATTATGTACTTAAGCATAATATATGCTGTGACCTTGGTAAAAAAGTTGGAAACTGTTTTCCTCCCCTTTGGAAAATCATAAGTATAACAGCCAACAGGCCATCTTGGAAGCATAAAAAGAAAGGAGCACATTTCATCAGTCTTGGAAAAAGGCTAAGATAATAATGCTGAAAGTGGTAGTGGTACCTTTTCCTTGCTTCTCAGTTTCACGACCAACACGGATTGAGCAACCACGATTAGCCACTCCCTACAAGTTCAAGTTAATGAGAAATTAATAACAAATTATAATGGCAAAACAATTCTTGCTCTTTAAATAAAAAT